CACACACACACACACACACACATGCACACAGTTGAAGTCAGAATTATTAGCCCCCCTGTTTATTTTTTCCCCAATTTCTGTTTAATGGAGAATTTTTCAACACAATTCTAAATATAATAGTTTTAATAACTCATCTCTAATAACTGATTTATTTTATGTTTGCCATGATGACAGTAAATAATGTATGACTTTATATGTTTAAGACACTTCTATACAGCTTAAAGTGACATTTAAAGGCTTCACTAGGCTAATTAGGTTAACTAGGCAGGTTAGGGTAATTAGGCAAGTTTTTGTATTACGATGGTCTGTTCTGAAGACAGTCGAAAAAAAAAAGCTTAAAGGCCTAATAATATTGACCTTTAAAAAATTAGGTCCTTAAAAATTAAAAACTGCTTTTTTCAAGCCAAAATAAAACAAATGAAACTTTCTCCAGAAGAAAAAACATTATCAGACATCATTTGGGAAATATTAAAAAAAAAAAAAAAAAAAAAAAAAATCTAAGGGGGGCTAATAATTCTGACTTCAACTTTAAATTGGTTTTGTAAAGGCAATGCTATAAAAATGTTTTGCAAATATATATAGTTGTTTTTTAATTGCAAATATTTTATTTGTTTTGCACTGCTTAATTTTTATTCGAAGTTCTTTTTTATTTGCAAACTTCATTTTTATTTCTCAAAACTGAAATTTCCCTTTGCAGTTCTTTAATTTTGTTTGCAAAATTAATTTTTATTTCTCAAAAATTAATTTTGGCTTTGTGATTTTTGGAAGTTCGCATTTATTTATTTATTTTTTTGCTATTTGCTATTTTACTTTATATTTTCTTTGCAAAACTTTCTTTTATTTTGCAAGTATCAATGGCCCTAGATTGACTCCATAAAAAGATGACCGAGGGAGAGGAGGTGTATATATAGCTTACTGTAGTAAAGGCTAAAGTATACAATGGTAATTACTATTAGTTCATGATAGTTACTAATAATGCTACATTAAGTAGTGTAATTCATGAATGAAGAGTTGTAAATATATATATATATATATATATATATATATATATATATATATATATATATATATATATATATATATATATATATATATATATATATATATATATATATATATATATATATATATATATATATATATATATATATATATATATATATATATATATATATATATATATATAAATATATATATATATATATATATATATATATATATATATATATAT